AAAACGGATGAAACGGATCTAAAGGTTTTTGGACGTTTGTTTCAGTCGAACGCATTTAGTGGAGAACAGTTTCAAGCGAACGCAGATTAAAGGGGCAGAAGGTCGTAGTGAATGAAATGAAATGCTGCCTTGTTGGAGGTCAATTAAAATCAGAACATGGAACATGATGAATCAAGCTAAAAGCGGATTGAAAATATTTGATATAGTGATTTAACACTTATTACAAGGGATACTTTCCAGAGATTGCACGATGGCCAAACTCCGCAGAGTAACGGCACCGTATTACCTCATCACTGTGAACTATATTATGATATATTTTGACGCACATTAAAACGTCTTCCCCCACCCATACTAACGTTATTCATTCCATCATTAAGCCTCCACACACTCTTCTAAACACTTCATATATACTTAACCACTTTCTATGTGTGAATCTTCGTAATACCAAACATACTAACCCAATGTGTGAGAGCAAAATGTACGATGATACATCGCCACAGAGCCAATCAGCACACGGCATACGGAAAACAGTGTCATCGTTGGTTACATTCTATCCCTGTCCACCTTAAATTTTACCACTAACCTTGTATGCATTGCGAGTTTGGCAGCGATCAGTGAAGATCGCTTCACTGTATTTCGCTGTGCGATGATGTTGGTGATGATGACCATCTATTCTGCAAGCCAGTCGTAGGTCATGCACAACCTTGCGTTAGCCAACTAGTTCAAGCAATAGTGACTTACTGCAGTTGCCGATAAAATGTTCACAACTGTTTACTTCTATACCTTTTGTAACTCAAGTTGTCCCAATACCATATCAAGATGTCCGAGAATCAGTTCGAGTTGTCTGACCATTATTTCAAGATGACTGGGGATCATTTCAAGTTGTCCCAGTATCATCTCACGATGTCCTCGGATCATTTCAAGCTGTCGCGTTGACCTCGTCGGTGCTGGCAAGCCTCTCAACCATGTATGGATGACCACCATGCAGCACCGATTTCTCTACCTCCCGTTGAAGTGCGGGGAACGATTATGAGACGGGCTTCGGTCACACGCATCAATTCCCATGACATACATATCGGTTGTTTATCTTGCTAGAACGTGTACGCCCCTGTGTGTTTGCTGCATGGTGATCCTCCATACATCGTTGGGAGGCTTGCTAGCACCGATGAGGTCAACGCGATAGCTTGAAATGATCTGAGGACATCGTGAAATGTTACTGGGACAACTTGAAATAATCCCCAGCCCTCTTGAAATAATGGTCAGACAACTCGAACTGATTCCCGGATATCTTGAAATGATATCCGGACATCTTTATAAGATATTGGGACAACTTGGATTGCAAAAGGTAGAGTCAATATCCATGTTGTCAAATGTTTGATTTAATATTTTTTACATTCACCTTTACCTCACGGTTACTTGTGAGTAGTGGCAGCTATTGAGTGAATGTGAATTGAAACACCAGTCTAGTAGATTTGTGGTAAGCCGGTTTGAAGGTGCATGCGGTATCTGGTTTGGTGAGGGATCTTTGCTCTTGGTTAGATAATTAACTGTCCCTTTGTTGCTGTAGGATCAAAACAAACTGAATACTAGTCATTAAAGATGCATCTAAATAAACTGGAACTAGCTATTCTGTTCATCCCGAATGTGCGCTTTTTGACCCAATGACAATACACTTTCCATGGGTCTTATGTTGAAATCCCGGAAGCGACCGTAAATGATCCTACCAACGAGCTCTTATGAAAGCGAGACTCAAGTCTAGTTCTTCTCGATTGGATGGTTGGCGAGATGAACTGGGGATTGTGTTTGAAGGTGACGCCAGAGTGATGATCTGTCCAGATGATTTTTTTCTATTTTGATTTAAAGTTTTAGACAAAACAATTAAAATCCTTAATTCATCAAAGTGGAATTGTCAGGTACAATTAACGCTTCAACATCCAGTGAAACACTTTGGAACGACTTCACAGTTGTTTCTTGCCTGCAAGGAGTCACCACCCAGTCCACTGGAACTAGATTCCAGGTACAAGGTGTAGTTCATATGAATGGTCAACAATTTTTGGGTTCACTCCGGTTGGCTCTTCGAAGCTATACGTCAACAACGCGTGATTTGGATCTCGTTTGTCACTGTAGTTTAAATTAACCAACCTTCAAAAGACAGCGATAGAAATTTTAAGGAGCGATTTCTCAGACGTGAACCCTGCACTCAATGGATTAGTTTAGATTTTAAAGTTGGCATAAATACTAATGCTGAGCAATGTATCGCGATATAGGGAGCGTCGTGTCATGCGGAATTAGATGGTATTAAATTCCAACCATACAATGAAGCCTACACATGTGAAGCACATAT